GAAGCACCTGAAGAAATCATTTCGTTCATCAAGAAGATAGAAGTACTAAACAATATTAAAGTACGTTCTATTCGAAGTGACCATGGTACTGAATTCAAAAACAGTACTATGGATAACTTCCTTGAGGATAAGGGAATTTCTTACAACTTTTCTTTTGTGAGAACTCCTCAACAAAACGGAGTCGCTGAAAGAAGAAATCGAACAATCATTGAGGCTGCTCGATCAATGCTCATCGAATCTCGTCTTCCAACTCAATTATGGGTTGAAGCTATCAACACTTCTTGTTTCACTCAAAACTGATCGCTGATCGTAAAAAAATTCAAGAAGACAGCCTATGAACTCTTCCATGGATGAAAGCCCTAAATTTTCTTTCTTCACATATTTGGTTGTACTTGTTACATTCTCAACAATCGCGACCAACTTGGAAAGTTCAATCGCAAAGCTGATGAAGGAATCTTTCTTGGATATTCTTCCATATCCAAAGCCTTTAGAGTATTCAACAAACGAAGACAAACAATAGAGGAATCTATTCATGTCATTTTTGACGAATCTTAATCAGCTAATTCAAAACCCATCTCTTTTGATGAAGATGAATTAGAGAACTGGATGATATCTCATTATGGACTACCTGAAGCTTCCTACAGTGCTCCTCTTAACATTGAATCTCCAGAAGCTGAAGGTGATCCACTCATCATTCCAGTTGCAGCTAGTCACTCMAATGTATCTTCTTCAGAGATCTCTGCAGTGCCCATTAGCTGTGTACCTCCTTATACTTCAAACACTGATCCTTCAGTAAATGAAATACCTTCAGTTTCTGAGCCTTTTTCAGTCGCTGAATCTGAGAATCCTTTAGCGATAGTCCCTATTGCTGAAGAAACTGCTGCTAAAGTCTCATCCTCTCCACCTGAAATTTCCTATTCAGATGAAGCTCCTTTACCGGCTCAGCGATGGACTAAAAGTCATCCTATTCATCAAATTCTTGGTGATATAGATGCAGGTATCAAGACACGTCGAGGTCTAGGTAATATCTGTCT